AGAGAGGAAAACAAGCAGCTTCTTGGAAAAGCCGTTCTTTAATGCCAGGGCCATTGTAGACAAGGACCTGACTTTAATCATTCACTCATCATTTATATGCCACCTTTCAGAGGCAGTTTACAAAAAGAAAAAAAAAAGTGAAACCTAGTTTAACATCATTAAAAGACGTACAAAACTTAATACATTCCAAGAAACCCGTAACCAATTAGACATTTAAAGCAGTGGTTCCCAACCTGTGGTCCATGGACCACCAGTGGTTTCCAAGAACAAGAATATGGTCCGCGGCCTCACCATTACTACACTGTTGCCTTGAAACCACATGACAACAAGAGCGACTGGTCTTGTGCCGAGGCAATGGGGATGTTGGGAGGGGAGAGGCTGACTACCCACGAAAGATTACTACTACTACATCAGCTCTAGTTTATTAAATATAGTTTTCTGTGGGCAAGCAGATGGTGACTGCTGGATGGCATATGTTCTGTATCAGAAACTAGAGCTGATGCAGTCTATCTAATGCAATTTTCTGAATCAGCACCCCAAATAACCAAACTGAATTTAAAGTTGACCAAATACTGATTTGTAATCCTTTTGGTACTAAATATTGGAGAGTGGTCCCTGTTCAAGTGGTCCCTGGTTAGAATGGTCTTGGGTAAAGTGGTCCCTGGTCAAGTGGTCTCTGCTCAGGTGGTCTCTGGTTAAAAAAAAAAGGCTGGGAATCACTGATTTAAAGCTGTTTAGACAAAAAGGGTTTTGCCCGATAGTGAAAGGAAAGCAATGAGGAAGCCATTGTAGATTCCCAATGAAGGGAATTGTAGAAGATTGTAGCGGTCGCTAAGAAGCCTGTGTTCTCACCAACCAATGTTATGATGATGGGACCAAGGGAGAATCCTCTCCTGTAGATCTTAAGATTCTGGGAAATAAGAATGCGGAAGCCTGTGTCCTATGCTGCTAGCATGTGAGCATAAAGTGCAGGCGATATCCTGAATTGAGAATTGATGCGGTGATGCGATTTGAATATGGGATTAAAATTTTAGGAGACCAAGGTTCAGGTCCTTGCTTCTCCTAGAAACCCCCTGAATGACCTTGGGAAGTCACATACTTTCAGCATCAGACGAAGGCATCCTCTTCTAGCCAGATAAAGTCTTAAGATTGCCACAAGTCAGGAAAGACTTGAAGGCACTCAACAACAAACAACAATCAGAAATAGTAGGATTACTCAACTAGATGGGTCTCATATGTCCGAAAAATGGGATATAAATTAAATGAATAAATATTAGTCCATTTATTTTGGTTTGAATCAGATAACAAAATTTGGACTCTAATCTATGTATGTGTTCCCCCTCCCCTTTTTTGTTGTATGTATGTTCAGATTGCCTGTTGATTTACAGCAATCCCATGAATTCCATAGAGTTTTATTAGGGAAGGGATACTTTGCCAGTTCCTTCCTCTGAAATATAATCTATAGTGTTTGGTATTCCTTGGTGGGTTCCCAATCATGTAATAACCAGGTCTGATTCTGCTTAGCTTCCAAGATCAGATTGAACTTTTTTAAAAAGTCAACTTTATGAGCTTGCTGATAAATCCTTCTGAGACCAGAAATGCAGATTTAAGCCCAATCACTTGGAAAGAATGGTATTAAAGCATCTGCAGTTTGGAGCCAAACCCCACTGAGCTTGCTGTCATCGACCTGAAAACGGAAAGTGACATATAGTTAGTGTATTTGAATACATTCTGGAAGCTGCAGTGTTGTGCTCTCCCACAGTAATACTGCAAAGGCTTCCAAGTGGTAAAACAATCAGCAAGCTGCAGATCTGTCAGGCAATATTTTCCAGGCAGACTAAACTCAAGATTTATCTTCTGTTACTTTGCCTTGGCAATGTGAAATTGCAAGTGGAAAGCATCTGTGCATAATTCTCATCTGCTTCCTGAGTCTGCATTGGGGCAAAGAATTGCTGTTCAGAGGGCTGGGTGCAGTGGCTGGTGCATTGGACTCACGTCTGCATCCTCTCCTGCTTGGTCATGCTACATCGCATGGAATTAAGCTGTCTCCGCCTCCAAATTGTGTGTGCAGATTTTTTTTGGAGGGGGAATATGGCAGCTGTGAGGCAAAGATTTAGCCCTCCCCTTCATGGTCTATGTTATTCAGATGCCTTGAAGTCATTTCTGACTTATAGTGAGTGTATCATTAGCTTTATTCAGAGGAGGTTTGACATTGTCTTCAATGCTGAGAGAGCATGAGTTTCCCAAGGACACCAAAAAGAAAAATGGGTTCCCCTGAAACTGTGGAGACCAAAATCCACTGATTGTGGTAATATGAAAATAACTAAATTAACTCAATGTATATATTACAAATACACATATCAAAAAAACTGCCACATTCACATTAAGTAGAAACATCTGGTTCTTCTCTTGAAGTATAAAACAAAGTCTTCATTTTATTCTGTGGATACTCGCCACAGATAAAACTCCTTGCAGGGTATATTGCTCAACAAAGAATAGCTGATCCACCCCTCCAGAAGACGGTGAATTTCTCACCTCAAAAGTTGAGCTTTTTTTGATAATTTGAACCCAACTGCCTGACGAAGGCTCTTGTGAGTCGAAACCAGGTGCAGGTTGGAGTCAATTCATGTGACTACTGGAGTCTACTCATATGTAATAAAGAACAGGACATTTTCTCAAACGAAGACTTTGTTTTATACTTCAAGAGAAGAACCAGTTTTTTCTACTTAATGTGAATCTGGCAGTTTTTTTGATATGTGTATTTGTAATATATACATTGAGTTAATTTAGTTATTTTCATATTACCACAATCAGTGGATTTTGGTTTCCCAAGGACACCCCATCTGGTTCCATGGCTTCTTTTGCGATAGGTATTGTTTTTCATTAGAATTATAGAGTTGGAAGAGACCACATGGGCAATCAGATCCAATCCCCTCCCATGCATGAAATGCACAATCAGAGCACCCTCAACAGATGGTCATCCAGCCTCTGTTTGAAAGCCTCCAAAGAAGGAGCCTCCACCAGACTCTGAGGCTGAGAGTTCTACTGTTGAACACACCTCTCATGGTCAGGAAGTTCTTCCTAATGTTTAGGTGGAATCTCCTTTCCTGTAATTTGAACCCATTACTCTGAGTTCTAGACTCCAGGGCAGCAGAAAACAAGCTTGCTCCCTCTTCCTCACCAAATATCAATTCTTCCTTTCAAATATGTAATCATGACAATCATGTCTTGTTTAAATATCGTTGTTGAAGCGTGTAATGCTGTTCATTCTATAAGATGAACAGATACCTCACCACTTCTGAAAGCAAGTTTTCCTATGCTTTTTTCTTGCAGACCAGTTCTTGCCTTAGTCTTGGAAGCTTGCCAGAAATCTGAACGACATTTGTTAACTAATTATTTTTGGGGTTTTCTAAGGATATAGTTAATGTTTCCCACTCAGCAAGGGGGATTCTGTGGTGATGGTCCATATATAGACATCAAAAGGTGTTGTAATTGGGAAGTATCTTGATAACTATTTTGACCAGGATGAGGAAGGCCAGGTCTTCAAGCTCCTTTTGTAAGAACTTGAAGACCTGGTGGTTACAATAAGCCTTTGAGAATGACTAGTTCTAGCTCAGCCCTAGACATTGTTGAATATGGCCTTATTCTTCCTACCAATTACCCAGGCCACTTCCTCTAATAGGCCCCGGAAATGAACAACCATAGACCCGTACTTATTATTGTTGTTGCCTGCTATAGCACTGCACTTAATTCCTGGCCCCCCTAGAATATTTGAGCTTGCACTAATCTTGGCCTTTTAAATTGCCTTGAACAGGCAGAATTACTTTTAATATATATGTGTTATGGCGACAATTTTTATGGTTATATTGTTTTGTTAATCTTATGGTTATGCTGTTTACTCTGTATGTACTGATGATGATACTTGGAAACTGCTCTGAGTCCCCTCGGGGAGATAGAGCGGTATATAAATAAAGTTTTATAAAGTTTTATTTATAAGAATGAGTCTAGTCATGGAGCAGCTGCCAGGATTGCCTCTTTTGTGAAGTTCAATTTCTTCTACACTTTTTCTCCCATGGTATTATTCAGGAAGCATTTGGGGGAGATGTCATCACTTGAGATTTCCTGCTCTTCAGGAGCCAGTTATGTACCATGATAATGCAAGATGCCCTTCCTTAACTCAATATTATGAAGAGAGAAGTGTGCACTTTTCAGTGGCAACACTATGAATAATCTCATGTATGTTTTCTGCAAAGGCTGCAGAGCTATTTTTGCTAATTAGGTGGCTTGGTGTCTTGAGTCCCTAGATATCTTTTGGGTTTGCATGCATTAACAATTATTCTGCTTTTGCCCATTCATAGGATTTTAGGTAATGACCTCCCCTTAAGCCACTTTATTACTTTGCGTGTATGCATGCACATTTTATTTTTTGAAAAGCCATTTGACTGGCGTCCTTGAGAATAAATTACTAAATGAGAAAATAAATATGTTGTTAGTTGCGTGCACAATAGATCCATTGTGTGAGGCAGAATGTGTATATCACCTCCAAACGGCCTCAGGTAAAATCTAATGAAGAACTGATTTGAAACTGGATGGAGTTCATTGGTTGAAGGAATGTGGCTTAGATAAACATCTGATCCACGTTAGATAGCTTTCTGTACTGTTTGTTTTTGTGATTAAGTTCTAATTATTATTACTTTAAAAAGCATTTTTAATATGTATGGTTGTGTTTGGCCTTCTGGAATAAGGAGCTTGTTATATTGTCATTTAATGTGGAATCTATAAAAATGGCTGTTTGCAAGTTTCTCTGATTTACGAGGCTAATACAGCTTTTTCCTATTACTGAAAGCGATAGTTTTCTGGAAACCCTAGTATGTTGAAAGCTTGTGCTGTTTTCTTGAAAGCAACTTTTCGAGCCAGTTTGTTGTTCTAAGAATACATCAAACGAATGCGAGATAGCACATACCTTTTTAAGATTTGCTTTGTCTTTTCAAATCTCACAGGAAAGTTCTCATCTGCCTGCCTCTTTGCTGTTAGCCCAGCACAAAGACCGGTCTTCGCAACTAGAAATGCAGCTAGAGATTCCGAAACCTGTCAAGCCGGTTGCATTTTCAACGGGTATCAAAATGGTAAGGCCCACCTGGTTTTGTGTCCATGCCTATGTGTATGGGATGGAGTTCCTGTGCTTTTCATTGCTGTCTAACCATTTTCAATCTGAGTCTTGAGTGTTTCCTTTGATTTCCATTTAATGATACAGAAATTTCTAGATTCATTCCAGACCGTGGGGAATTTTTTTTAAATCTCCCAACATGGCCCAGCCAGCAAGTTTGGTAGTTGTCTTGGCTGGTGAAATCTGGTAATTGCAATCCCCAAAAGTAATTTCCCTAAAGTTGTGTCGTATGATATAGATCATAAGACAAGGATAATTAATATGCAGTTCTGTTCTAAATTGGTTCAATGTTCTTACACTGGTTAAATTGGTTCAATGTTCTTACAGTTATTTATTGTTGTATTGTTGTTGTGTTTTTTGTTTCTGATGTATTTGGGTTCGGCCTCTTGTAAGCCGCACCGAGTCCTGCGGGAGATGGTAGCGGCGTATAAATATAGGATTATTAGTATTATTATTATTATTACACTGCAAGTTTATGTAATTGCTTTAGACACAACATGGGTGGATACAATCCATTGAGCCCGTTGTGTGCATTTAGTTGTTCATTACAGGAAGATTCTCCAATGTGAAATTATCTGCTGCATGAGTAGTGAACACAAGAGTATAGTCTATTCAGAGTAAGGTTGAGATGGCTGCACTTATAGCTGCAACATTAACTTGTCATCTTTTCTTGAGGTATCAGTCATAATACCAAAATATGTTGCAGATGTGAGGAGTAAATTGGATGTTTTTGTTTCCATTTCCACCTTAATTCTGGTTAGGAAAAGCAAACCAAAATTTAAAGATTTGTTTTCTGTAAAGTATTTTTTGAGACTGACCATAGTTTCACAGGGCTTGAATGTGAGATAAATTATTAATAGTTGAAAATAAAAGCAAATGTTTCTGATGAACCTATTGCATGTACAATGGGGGGAGAGAATATATGGGATGTGCTCATTACCACACTGATTCTTTGCAGAAACTGGGTTTGTGGGGATGATTTCCCCTATGTATTCAATTTCCCAACAGAATTGGTTCTGGCATTTGAGGGCAATTCATGCTATAGTTTCTTCTCTCAACAACCTTCCTGAGTGCCACAGATCCATTTGGAAGTTATGGTAAAATCTATTCACATAAAGTTGTAACCTCCACCCCAATTATTTTGAAGCTGTGCAAGACAGGGGCAGACTCTGAATTATGAAGGTTTTCCATCCCTATACTTCACTGTTGTTTCATATTCCATCTATATACAGGTCATGTATATCTTTGTACAGCTGGTTCAACTTCAAAACAATAATTATATGGTGAGGTCATATTCCACTGCCTGTTGTGGCCAATATCCTAAAGTCAGTGTGGGTCTATTACTGAAGACTATGCATCCCTGAGGCCTGCTTACCTCCCTGCCTTTCTTTCTTTCTTGCAATAAACATGGCTGGAAAGACATCACTAATAGACCATGGTTGGCAGTTATGCTATGCTTTTGATTTCAGAGGAGAAACTTTTTTCTTAATTGGAATAATCTAACTAACACTTTCACAGAAGCTTATGAAAAACTTTGGCAATTACTAAACATCAAGAAAACCAAAGTGCTTGTCAAATACCTCTGAACTTAAACACTACACCAGCTTGGTAAAATCAGCAAGCAATTTATTAAAGAATATATGTAGGCAAACCAGTAAAATTAGCAAAAACAGTTCCCAAAACAAAGGATAATCCATGAGCTTCAAGGCAAAATAAGATTAATTGGAACAACAATCCATGAAAGAAGGCATCATGAAAAATCCAAAACACAAAACAGGAGCTTGGCAAAAACTTGGCACATGAAACTAAGAACACTTGAAAGCAAGATTGTCATGAAATTCCAGCGTTGGCCCAAGTAAGGCAACTCTTTCCCATGAATCAATATAAGGCTTTTCTAGATTCCAAAACTGAAAGGAAAGCATTTCTCTTGATCTTACCACCAGATAAAGGTTTCTTATCTTTCTTTTCCTGTAAACAAACTGATCTTTGCGCCTGAGCACTCTGTCTGTTTACAAAAGCCTTTCCTTCTATATATGCTCTCATTAACTTGACTCTCATTAACTTCTGCACCTGACAAATCATCTTCAAACAGTTGCTCTGAGAAAGACTGTGAAGGGCCTTGTCCCAGGAATATGACCTTGTGAATTTTCCTGAGACAGCTCAGGCCTCTTGTCTGAGTTTAACTCGGCCCAGGCAAACCCTCATCCCCATTGTCAACAGACCCAGGCCCATCATCAGGAACATCGTCCCCATTCCCATCATGAACATCAGACACAATCACAGGCTAAACAGGCTGACACACAACAGTGCTCTACCATCAGGCAGTAACCAATCCCTCTGCAATGCCAGAAATAAACCTTAATGGTGAAACACTAGAAAATGTAGACCTTTACCGCTGCTTTGGCAACCACCTCTCCACATGAGTCAATATAGTCAGTAAAATTATTGACTTATGCAAGTGAAGGGGGTGGAGCTGAGAAAATTCTGGGGCTGAATTGGGCCCACAGGCCTTAGTTTGAGGACCTTTGACCTAAACTTTTGTTAGAATTTGCAGGTGGGGAAAAAGTGGAGAAAAAGTGTCTTAACATCCCCAAAAGTATGGTTAGTGGTGGAATTCTGGAAGTTATAGTCTAGAAAATGTAAAAAAAAAAATCTTTACAAATATTCTTCTTACGTTCTTATAATAACTTGGACATTGGGGTTTTCAATAGTCTCTTACAATCAAGCTCACCTTTCTTTTGTAAATGCCCCCAATTTTTTTGGATTGCTGTCATATTTTGAAATGCCGTTAGTCATATATGTTGCCTGAAGCTTTTAAAACTGATATATAACCAAAGGCTGTCCAGCCACTTTAGGCAAATGTTAACTTTCTGGGTGAGGAAAAACTGCCAAGTGCAAACACATTTAGCTACATTTGAGAAGTTTGAACTCTGGAGTGTTTTTCTCCCTTTTTCTTTCTTCTTGTTATTTGAAGTGTAAATTAGACAATGTATGTTGTAAAGCAGCCTGTTGTTGGATCACTTTCTAAAAAAAATGTGTGCTAATTTGTAAACTAACATAACAGATATTTTAATTAGTGCAAGGATTACTACGCAACTGTTGTTCCATTGAAGTGTTCAAGTGTTTGGCACAATGAGCTTGACTTTATGCTCACCCCATCCCCGCCCTCACCTCACCCTTTGATAGGCTAAAAAAGTAGAAACTAAAACTACTCAGGATAGTATATTCTTGATTCTTTTTACTCAACAGAAAACAATTCATGCTTCTGAGGCAGAAAAGTGGATTCCCAGCTGAAACCAGTGGAATCTGATATAGTGTACTGAAGGGGATTTTTCAAAAATCCTTTAAAGTTGATTAAAGGGAGTCTGATAACAGTTGATTTAGTGGTTCATTTAATAATACCTTGATGGCTTTACTGGAAAGCCATACCAACTGTGTTCAGTGAACTTTACATGTAAATCTGATCCACGCAACTCCATTTGGATGCATTCTTCTATAGGTATTTTTGCTTCTTTCTTTTCTATTGATATCACGCCTTCCCTGTTTCTTCCCTGCCAACGTATCTCTAAGGCCCTTGAAGTAGATATTCTTTGTCTTGATGGGGGAGCAACTGTGGGAGGCTATAGAGACCTGGCAGGTTTGTACCCCACATTCTCTTCCCTAAAAACACAAAAAACATCTGGGAGCAAAATTGTTTTTGTCTCTGAGTGGCCCTGGAGGGCAACATATGGGCTGGGTTTTGCCCATCCCTAGTATTGATAGTGAACCACCTTGAACATTTATGTATCTTTTTTATATATATTACTAGCTGTCCCCAGCCACGCGTTGCTGTGGCCCAGTCTGGTGATCCGGAAAATAAAGTAATTAGAAAGTGTTGGTTTCTAATATATATAATTTCTTTATGCTTGTGGGTAAACAGTATTTCTTATTGTTTCTTTGTCAGTGTTGATTAAGAGATTGTCTGGTTTGCCTATTCTGGAGCATGCAACATCCTTTTTAGGGGTCCCTTTCAAATCTATGATACTATATCTGTCATATATATACATATATACATGGGTGTGAATTATATATATCTATCTATATCTATGGCTGGATGGCTCTTTGTTAGGAGGTCTTTAATTATGTTTTCTTGCCCTGGTGAAGGGAGTTGGACTGGATGGCCTTAAGGCAACTTTTCTCAACCTGGGGATTGGGATGCAGGGCGGGTCGCAAGAGGGTGTCAGAAGGGTTGACAAAGATCGCCAGAAAACACATTATTTTCTGTTGCTCATTGAGGTTCTGTGTGGGAAGTTTGGCCTTATTCTATAATTGGTGGGATTCAGAATGTTCTTTGATTGTAGGTGAACTCCATATGTTCAAACATGACCGCAGATGGAGTTTGGGGAAAACGCACCTTGAAATTTGGGAGTTGTATTTACTGGGATTTATAGTTCACCTACAATGGTCATTGGAGTCCTGTGTACCAAGTTTGGTTCAATTCCATCATTGGTGTTCAGAATGCTGTTTGATTGTAGGTTAACTATAAATCCCAGCAACTACAACTCTCAAATGAAAAAATCAATTTTTTTAGTGACAGTCATTCCTTGGGTTAGTAGAGTGATGGACACTCCTTGGGCAATTCATCCAGCAGATTTTGAGTTATGATGTAATCAAAACGAACAGAGCATTATATATATATGTGTGTGTGTGTGTGTGTATGTATGTATAGATAGATAGATAGATAGATAGATAGATAGATAGATAGATAGATAGATAAATACTAGAGCATTGTTTCATCTAGTCCTGTATTGTGTATGTTGTGTTGGAGAATGCAAAGCTCAGGGGGTTTGTGGGATTCCCTTGATCCCTTTCTGTGGCCCCCAAGAGGCCCTTGAAACCCCCAGATGTCTCTACTGGAATTATTTTCAGTAAAAGGCGCACCTAACTATCAATACAAATATCTTAGTTTAGCTACCACTA